CATCAGGTTTATATTTCGTGACCTTCAGAGAAAGGTATTAGGTACTACTTTCATCTGTCAGGCTACTCCTATTACGAGACTTAACAAAATTCATCACTGAGAACAAAGATTCACAAGCATATGTGGATGAAAACATGGAGAGTAACGCTGTTGCAAAGTTTTTTAAACAGAAAAAATTTTCTGGAATGGCATTCCAAGTCCTCAATAGTTCATTTTCAACACTTCTCTCTGGTATTCCTGTCTCTAATCGCTTTTTTTTCAATGTTTCCCAAGTCAACTCTAAGGTCAATAAATTTCTGCTTCCAAATTGTGCTACTCTGATATTCAATCAACTGCATTTCAAAGTCAGCCATGTCTAGGGTCTTTAAGATAACTTGTTCTGTAAAATTATTTATTTATCTAAGATGCACCTACACTGAATTTATCTGAAAAATAAAAAACTCGATATTAAGAAAAAAATTGTAAATGGAAGATTATAAGAGAGGGTTTCATGTGCCAGCAAAAGTTACTGGCGTGCCATGTTTGGCACGCGTGCCAGGGGTTGCCCACCCCTGGCCTAGAGTGTGACTCAACAGAAAGGGATTTTGCAAGCAGGCCCCAGAATCTGCCCTTGTCAAATAAAAAAAGTCCTATAGTAGTCACATCACCAAACTGTTATGAGGATCCAATGAAGTAAATAAGTAAAGTTTCAAAAGATCAGTGCTTTCCTGAGAAATAGCTGACTTGTTAACTAGACAGCAGAAAGCCAAGAAAAGCAGTGTTCTCACTTAGATATGAAGGCAGGTTAAGTCAAATCATATTCTTCCTCCTGAGCAAAATCAAGTGAAACTTCATCAGTAAGTTTTCCCTCATCCTTTACTTCCTGCAAATTAAACAGATTTCCTGTAGACGACACACTTCTTAACCTCGCTGTCCATTCCCACCACGGCAGGGTAAGGGGTACTTGGGACAAAAGCACATGTGATTCATCTGCTTTATTGAGTCCCTTTGTACCCCTCCAATTCCCACTGGTGAATGTACTTACTTTCCACCTGCTTCTTATTAGAGAAAATATGTCATAGCAACATTAAAAAATGTTGATAAGAACAGAAAAACCATAATCCTACAGCATCACAACTCTTAAAAATTGCTTTCCAATGCCTTTCAGTAAGAGTGTTTTTATAGAGTTTCTATCATAATACACATACTATTTTGATTTCTACTATATCTAATTCATATTATATATTTTCCATGTTTATATGTAGGCTGCATAATTATAATGTTTGATGACAACAAATTTTTTCCACCGTTTTAATATGACATCCCATTTTGTTGGATACTAAGATTGCTCTCACTAGGCAGTGCTGCAATAAATACTTTCTTACAAACAGTTTTTTAGTAGTGCTAAAATATTTCAGAGAATTAATTCCTAGTGCTTTAGATACAGAGTCAAAACAGTGTGAGCATTATGATTCTTGTTCTGTATTTTCTCATTACTTCGCAAAAAGACAATACCAATTTACATGCTTTTAGAAGTATATAAAGATCTAATTTCACTTCAGCCTTGGACTAAATTTTGTTAAAATTTAGCAGGTGTAAACCTTTACAAGTGAAACTGAATTTGCATTTATTTGATTATTATCAAATATGATTATTTTCCACGTTTTATTTTCTCTTTATATTTCCTTTTATGTGACTAGTCACATAATCAAGTATAGAACAAAAAGAACACTAGGTTGGTTCTAGGATCTCTCACTCCATGGCCTTCTCACTTAACTTCTTCCCGCCCAATACACCCCTTTCTCTGAAGGGGACTGTCTTGTCTCTGATGCTTTCTAGCTCTAAATTTCATGTAGTACTCTACATGAAATAGATCAAACTCAACTATACATGGCATCATAAAGTATTATATCTATAATTAGAATAGGTAAGTATCTGGAATTTAACACTGGGGTGTCTGGAATTCTCAATAGATTCCAGGGATTCCCATGATTTCTGAACAGCACGTGAAAATAAACAGGGAAATTCTTCATTAACTTGTTTACTCACTCAACAGATATATAGAGAAGACCTGCAATACACTGAACTACTGAACTCTGTAATAGATTTTGACATAGAAAGATGAAGATGATGTGGTTCTAAGGATGCTATGGTCCGGAGGAGGAGACAGTCATGCCAGTGGAATGTGGCGAGCACTGCAGTGAGTAACATGGGGAGGGCTCCTTCAGGAAGACTTCACAGAGGAAGGTACATCTGGACCTGAACTTGAACTATGAGTAGGATTTTGCCAAAAGGAGCATGGAGAAGTAGGGTTGAAGAGTAAACTCTAGGAGTAGAGGGAGTAACATGTAAAAGGCATGTAACTCGGCATCAACAATCTAGTAATTGTGAAAAGTTAAGCTTCTGTAATAATATATGGTGCACTGGGCAGAAATAGAGCTGGAAGGATAAACTGGGGTTAGATTTTATGCCAAATAAAGCAATCTGCTTTTTCTTATTGAGTATCGGGGTGACATTGATTAACAAAACCATATAGGTTTCAAGGGTATAACTCAACAAAACATCATCTACATGCTGCATCGTGCACCCATCACCCAAAGTAAAGTCTCTTTCTGTCCTCATTTATCCCTGATTTGCCCTCTTCCATTTCCCTGAACCTCTTGCCCTCTAGCTATCACCATACTGTTTGTTGTCTGTGTCTTTGTGTTATATATAATATAATCCCTTCTTTTTTTTTCCACCCAGCTCTTCCCATCCCAACTCTCCTCCCCTCTGACACTAGTCAGACTGTTCTCTGTATCTAAGTTTCCATTTCTATTTTGTTGTTTAAACTATTTTGTTCACTAGATTCCACATATAAGTTTTATCATATGGTGTTCAACTTTCTCTGACTGGCTTATTTCACTTAGCACAATACTCTCCGGGTCCATTCATGCTATCACAAACGGTAAGATTTCCTTCTTTTTTAAAGCCAAGTAGTATTCCATCATGATGTATCACAGCTTTTTTAACCACTTATCTACAATGGGCACTAAGGCTGTTTCTAGAGCATGGCTATTATGAAATACACTGCAATGATCATAGAGGTGCACATATTACTTCAAATTAATGTTTCATGTTTCTTCAGGTATATTCCCCAAAGTAGAATTGCTGGGTCATAAGGCAGTTCCATTTTTAATTCTTTGAGGAAACCCCATACTGTTTTCCACAGTGACTGCACCAGTCTGCATTCCTACCAAGAGTACACTAGGGTTTCCTTTTTTCCACTTCCTCACCAGCACTTGTTGTTTGCTGATTTATTGATAATAGCCATTCTGAAAGGTGTGAGGTGCTATTTCATTGTGGTTTTAATTTGCATTTCTCTGATGGTTAGTGACATTAAACATCTTTTCATTTGTCTACTGGCCATCTGTATGTCTTTTTTGGAGAAGTCTATTCAGATCCTTTTCTCATTTTTAAATTCCATTGTTTGTTTTCTTGGTGTTGAGTTGCAAACGTTTTTTAAAATATTTTGAATATTAACCCCTTATCAGATATATCACTGGAAAAAATGTTCTCCCATTCAGTGGTTGCCTTTTAATTTTGTTAATGATTTCCTTTTTGCTGTAAAAAACTTTCTAGTTCAGTACAGTCCCATTTTTTTCTTTTTTCTTTTTTTCTCCCTTGCCTTGGGAAATATAACAGCAAAAACATTGCTATGAGAAATGTCTGAGATTTTATTGCCTGTTTTTCTTTAGAATGTTTATAGTTTTGAGTCTAACATTTAAGTCTTTATCCACTCTGAGTTATTCCTGCATATGATATAAGAAGGTGGTCTAGTTTCATTTTATTGCATATATCTGTCCGACTTTGCCAATACCATTTATTGAACAGATTGTCTTCCCCCCATTGTATGGCCTTCCCTCCTTTGTCAAATATTAATTGCTCATGAAGGTATGGGTTTATTTCTGAGCTCTCTATTCTGATCCATTGATCTGTATGTCTGTTCTTATGCCAGTACCATGCTGTTTTAATTACATGGCCCACAGTATAGTTTGATATTAGAGAGTATGATACCTCTAACTTTGTTCTTCTTTCTAAAGATTGCTGAGGCTATTTGAGGCCTTTTGTGGTTCCATATAAATTTTTGGAATATTTGTTCTAACTCTATTAGATATGCCATTGGTATTTTAATAGGAATTGCATTGAATATATAGATTGCTTTAGGTAATATGGACATTTTAATGATGTTAATTCTTCCTACCCATTAACATAGTATAAGCTTATTTGTATCTTCCTCAGTTTCTTTCTTCAGTGTCCTATAATTTTCCAAGTACAGGCATTTTAGCTCCTTGGTTCAATTTATCTCTAGGTACCTTATTTTTCTTTTGTTATAATAGTAATTGTGAGTGTCTTCTTAATTTCTCTTTCTTATACTTCATTTCTGGTGTATAAAAGTAGCAATACTTATATCAGACAAAATAGACTAAAACAAATGCCATAACAACAAAAAAGAATATCCTATGTAATAAAAGGCTAATATGCAAATAAACCAAACGGTGGAATGACTGGTTGCTACCGATGTGCACTGACTACCAGGGGGCAGATGCTTAATGTAGGAGTTGCCCCCTTGTGGTCAGTGCGCTCCCACAAGGGAAGCACCACTCAGCCAGAAGCTGGGCTCACGGCTGGCAAGCGCAGAGGCGGTGATGGGAGCCTCTCCCGCCTCCGCGGCAGTGCTAAGGATGTCTGACTGACATCCTGGTAGTCAGTCATCCCCTGAGGGCTCCTAGACTATGAAAGGGAGCAGGCCAGGCTGAGAGACTCCCTGAGTGCATGAATTTCATACACTGGGTCTCTAGTTACACAATAATAAAGGTATCAGTCCAATAAGAGGATAATATATTCACCTTTGTGAACATACATGTACCAACATAGCAGCACATAAATATATAAAGAAAAAATTAAGGGAGAGATTGACAGCAATATAGTCATAGTTGGGGATTTTAACATATCACTGAAATCAATGGAAAAATCTTCCAGAAAAAAAATTAACAAGGCAATAGTGACCTTAAATGACACACTGGACAGGATGGATTTAATTGATATTTACAGAACATTTCATCCAAAAGCAGCAGAATATATATTCTTTTCAAGTGTACATGGAACATTCTCTAAGATAGACCACATACTAGGACACAAGAGAAGCCTTAATAAATTAAAAAGGATTGAAGTCATACCAAGCATCTTCTCTGACCACAATGGTATGAAACTAGGAATCAATTACAATAAAAAAACAACAACCCTCAAAAGCACTCAAACACATGGAAGCTAAATAACAAAATATTAAACAATGAATGGGTTAAAAATGAGATCAGGAACAAAATCCGAAGTTTTCTGAACACAATGAAAATGAACACACAACAACTCCCAAATCTATGGGACATAGTGAAAGCAGTCCCAAGAGGAAAATTCATACCTTTACAGGCCTATCTCAAGAAACAAGAAAAAAGTTAAATAAACAATCTAACCCTACACTGAAAAGAACAACAACAACAACAACAAAAACACTGAACAGAGCCCAGAGTAACTAAAAGGAAAAAAATAATAAAGATTTGAGTGGAAATAAATGAGCTAGAGATTAGAAAAACACACACAAAAGATCAATGAAACCAAAAGCTGGTTATTTGAAAAAAGAAACAAGTCTGACAAACCTTTAACCAACTTGTCAAGAAAAAAAGAGAGATTATCCCAATAAATAAAATAAAAAAATGAAGGAGAAGTAACAATTAACCACAGAAATACGAAGGACTGTACAAAAATATTATAAACAACTATATATCAACAAATTGGACAATCTGGGTGAAACGGATAAATTTCTAGAAATATACAACCTTCCAAATCTTAATCAGGAAGAATCAGAAAATCTGAATAGACCAATTATAATTAATGAAATTAAAGCAGTAATCAAAAAGCTCCCAGCAAACAGACGTCTTATATTGAATGGCTTCACAGGCAAAATTTACCAAACATTCAAAGAAGAACTAACACCTATCCTTCTAAAACTATTCTAAAAATTTCAAGAGGAGGGAAGACACCCAAGCTCGTTTTACAAGGCCAGCATTATACTAATTCCAAAACCAGATAAAGCCACTACAAAGAAAATTATAGGCCTAATAGAGGCCCAGTGCACAAATTCGTGCACTAGTGGGGTCCCTCTGCCTGTCCTGCGGGATCGGGTCGAAACAGGCTCTCCAACATCCCCCAAGGGGTCCCGGATTGTGAGAGGGCACAGCTAACCTACTGATTGGAGCATCTGCCCCTTGGTGGTCAGTGCACATCATAGCAACTGGTCGACAGGTCAACTGCCTGCCTCCTGGTGGTCAGTGAATGTCATAGCAAGCGGTTGAGCAGCCTTACTATATAATTAGCATATTATGCTTTGATTGGTTGAACAGACAACCAGATACTAAGCATATTAGGCTTTTATTATATAGGCTATCCTTGATGAACATAGATATTAAAATTCTCAACAAAATATCAGCAAACCAGAACAGTACATTAAAAAGATCATACACTATGATCAAGTGGGATTCATTCTGGAGATGCAAAGTTGGTGCAGCATTCACAAAGCAATAAAAGTGATATACCACATGAATAAAAATGAAGAATAAAAATTACATGATCATATCAATAGTTGCAGGAAAAGCATTTGATAAAATCCAGCATCTATTTATGATAAAAGTTCTTATCAAAGTGGGAATGATGGGATCAGACCTTAACAAAATAAAGGCCATATATGACAAACCCACAGCCAACATCATACTGAATGGGCCAAAACTAAAAGCTTTTTCCTTAAGAACAGGAATAAGACAAAGGGATGTCTGCTTTCACTCCTCTTATTCAACATAGTACAGGCAGTTCCAGCCACAGCAATAAGACAAGAAGAAGAAATCAAAGCATCTAAATTAGAAATTAAATCTGTCACTATTGGCAGATGATGTGCGATATATATAGGAACCCTAAAGACTCTACCAAAAAATTACTGGAACTGAGAAATGAATTTTGTAAAACAGCAGAACACAAAATTAATATGAAGAAAGGAGTCTGCTTTTTTAAAATTTTCTGGGAAGGGTGTATACAGAAGGGAGCCAGTGGAGATTTAGAAGCAGGGGGGCCACATGAGCAGATATGTTCTTTTCAATCTTTTTCTTTTAAGATTACTTCTAGGAAATTCACAAGCACCATTTTTTTTGTCTCTCTCTATT